GGGGAGCCGCTGGCAGCCCCGACCTGGGTTTAAATGGAAGCGCTCGTGGCCGCCAGAGCCGTGGAGCCTGCCGCTGACCGCGTGTTTCTCCCCAGAGGATGACGGCCGAGGCGCACCGGCGCGTGGTGGTGGAGTACCTGCGGGCCGTCATGCAGAAGCGCATCTCCTTCCGGGGCCCGGAGGAGCGCAAGGAGGGCGCTGAGAAGATGGTGAGGGAGGCGGAGCAGCTGCGCTTCCTGTTCCGGAAGCTGGCGTCCGTGAGTGTCGCGCCGTGCGGGGTGGGGAAAGCCCGCCGCCCCGCCCCGCAGCCCCGTTCGGCCTCCGCCCCGGACTTGGAGCCCGTAGTTGAGAGTGTGTGTTTCTCAGGCGGGGGCCTGGCTCCAGGTCCTGCCTGAGCTTGTGGTTGGACACGAATGACCGCGGAGGCAGGCGCGGCGCCGGCTCCCTGAGGGACGCTTCCGTCTGTCCCGTGCTGCGAGGCGCTGGCCGCCTCCCACTGACGCGCCCTCACCCCAGACCCCGGCCCGTTCCTGAGCTTTCAGAGTAGATCTGAGGAGTCAGGGGAAGAGGGAGGTTCCCGGTCAGGAAGGGGCTCAGCCAGAATCCGGCCGCTCCCGGGGCGGGGGACAGCCCAGGGCGGCTCCTCACATTCCTGCTGCCTTCCAGGGTTTCGGGGAAGACGTGGACGGATACTGCGACACCATCGTGGCTGTGGCCGAAGTGATCAAGCTGACAGACCCTTCTCTGCTCTACCTGGAAGTCTCCACTCTGGTCAGCAAGTATCCAGACATCAGGTAAGGGATGCACGTGTGCCTTAGAGTCCTGGCGTGGAGCGGCAGGTCCTTCCTTCCGTCACAGGGCGGGTGAGGCTCCCGGTTGGCGAGGTCAGCCCTGCAGCACGGCAGGGGTTCAGGTGCGGGGACCAGAGCGGCTCCTGTGCTGCCTTCCGGGCCTGGGCTGCGGTATGGGTGGGTGGAGCTCGCGGGGCACACCCCGGGTGGGGACAGTGGGGGCAGGGGTAGGGTGGGGGCAGGGCTGTGACAGCTCTGCTGTGTCTGGTGGGGAAGATTTGGCCTGTGGAGTGGCCTGAGCGGGGCGAGTTTAGGAAGTTTCCTCTGTGCTCATGGTGGACTCAGTAGGGCCCAAGTGCCGCTCAGACCGGACACCCTCCGAGGACGTGATTACAGGGTGGTCCCAGTGCCAGGCTCAGGGAAGGGGACCCACGCACGTCCCCCCTCTGCCATGCTGGCTCCAGGCTCCAGGCCAGCTTTCGCAGCCCCTGTCTCAGGGCACCTGCCACTTCCCCAAGGGGCCACTTCCGTGGCTGCAGCTGTGCCACCTCTGTCCCATCATCTTGCCATTTCTGGTTAAACGTGGAAAATGGGGTCTTGAGCTCTCCACAGTCTCTGCTCTGGTTGGGCGGGAACAAAGATGTATAAAAGCAGTGTTGAAAAATCTTTCTGCAATTGGATTGAGAAAAGGCAGAGTAAGATGAAAACGCAGGCTTGTCTCCCACTGAAAAGGGAGAGGCGCCGTTTGTCTGCAGCTGTCCTCACCCCCTGCGTTCTGTGGGCTGGGGTGGTGAGGCCGTGAGCCCCTGGCAGCGTGGCGCATCATGGGGGTGCTAAGCGGGCATGGGCTGATGTCTCCCCATCCCCAGGGACGACCACATCGGTGCGCTGCTGGCTGTGCGTGGGGATGCCAGCCGTGACATGAAGCAGACCATCATGGAGACCCTGGAGCAGGGCCCGGCGCAGGCCAGCCCCAGCTACGTGCCCCTCTTCAAGGACATTGTGGTGCCCAGCCTGAACGTGGCCAAGCTACTCAAGTAGCCTCCGCCGGCCTGCCCTGCACGCCTGTGCACAGCCCCAGTCCCTGCCCTCAGAAGCGCGGGAAAGCCCATTGCTCTCCTTGGCCACATGTGCTGCTTTCAGCTGCACGGCCTGTGCTTAGGCGCCAGCTTGATACACCGGGTGTGCGTGGAGTGAGCGTCCCGAGGCCACGTGCAGAGGCCCCTCATTGTGCTCTCAAAGCCCTGTGTGTGCAGGGCTCTGCCACATAGCCTCTCTGGGGTGCTTGTTTGTTGTAGTGGTTGAAGGCGTGTGGGGTGCAGGGGACGTGCACCTCTGTGCCCCTCTCCTCCCTGGGCCTTCACCGCATCTGCTGTAAGTGCTCGGAACCCTGTCACCTAATTAAAGTTTCTCGGCTTCCTCGGAGAAATGAAAAGGCCACGCATTCTCTTTTCTGGTGAAGGTTTTCTGACTAGTGATCTAGCAGTGCCCAGGAACTGTGGTCAAACACAGTAAAAGTCTTCCCTCAGCTTGGAGGGCACCCTCCTGGTCTCCTCCTGTCTGACATCCCCAGACTTACTCCTTGGGTCCTTTGAGAGATGAGACACTCACCAGCTGCACCCAGGAAGCCCTGTCCCCACCCTTAGGTGAGCAGACCTCTGGCACCAGTTGGTGCCAGCCAAGTCAGCCGTACCTGGTAGACGAGCAATGGTAGGAGTGTAAATTTTAGTAAAAGTAAATATGAAAGTGAATATTTACTTGGAGTACATTTCAAGACCTGTGAATCATGCTTTTCCTGATACAGAATCCTTTAAATTCTCTTTTCCAAAATGTACCCATCTCTCTACAGCATCTGCCTTCAATGGTAGCATCATTTTGCATGTTAATCTTTTTTTCCAAAGCTAATCAAGGCATTATCCCAGAGGCTGGGTGCAGTGGCTCATGCCTGTAATCCCAGCACTTTGGGAGGCCAAAGTGGGTGGATCATTTGAGATCAGGAGTTTGAGACCAGCCTGGCCAACATGATGAAACCCCATCTCTACTAATAATACAAAAATTGGCCAGGTGTGGTGGTACATGCCTGTAATTCCAGCTGCTTGGGAGGCTGAGGCAGGAGAATTGCTTGAACCCTGGAGGTGGAGGTTGTAGTGAGCCAAGATTGCACTACTGCACTCCAGCCTGGGCGACGGAGCGAGACTTCGTCTCAAAGGAGCGGGGATATTACCCAGGATGAGCAGGGAGCCCTGGGTCCTGGTGTTCAGAGGGGCAGACCCCTGTGCTTTCTTAGTTTACAGAAAAGTATTGATTCGGTTGAGTGAGTGAAAGGCATTGACCTTCATTCCTCCTCTCACCTGTGTATACAGCACCTTGTTCCCTGCATCCCTGTCTCAGAGCCCCAGGGACTCGCAGGTGAGAGAGGTGGGAGTGTCAGCAGGCCTATCTGTTCCTGTGAGGACCCCGCAAGTCTGGCAGTGCACCTGGGTGTGAGGACCTCCCTCGGCTGCCCACGGGCCGCAGGTACTCCAGCCTGAGGACACGCTTTATTAGCTCTCAAGACGTTTTTGAGATGGAAGAGTTGACATTTTACTTTTTTTCATCCTCACAAGATGTGAAAAATTCACAAATAAGACTTTTTCTTGAAATAATCAAAACTTAAGTGGAGTTAAGTAACCGAGGAGCAACAGGGACTCAGAAGGGGGTGCTCTTCCGAGAACATCCAGCAGGCGTGCTGTTCCATGTGCCTCTTAACCCAGCTTCCCACTCAGCAGCAGGCCTTGAGTGCACCTGGCATACAGTAAGTGCTCAGTAAATTCGTATGAATTAATCAAATTCATAGTGTTCACAGTCATCAGAGTGCCCCTTATAAGAATGAAAAATGTGTTTATTTTCCCACTGCGAGGGAATTCTTGTTACTTCTGGAATGAGTGCCCAGGGCGAATGGTGGTGAGTGTGCAGCCCTCACTGGTGTTTTGCTCTAATTCTGTGTGAGGGTCACCACTGGGCCCCACGGTCACTAGTCACTGGTCACATCTACTTCAGGGGTGCCTGCAATAACAGTGAACCAAGCATTTGGCTCCTCGGCCTCGGAGGCCAAACTGAAACCAGACAGCAAGTTCTGGGACACCTGATGTGCATGATTTGGGGGACAGGACGCCAGCCAGAATGTGCGGGAAGGTGTGGGGATGCCTCTGGCAGAGGCAGTGGTTGGTGCCTGGGCAGTGGGTGTCCAGCCTGATACCAGGGGAAGGTTGTCTCCACCCCACGCACTACAGGACGCCGGGGTGAGGCCTGTGGCCACCTCCTAGTAGGAGAGCAGTGGCCACCCAAACGGAAGGCCAGTGCTTGCTGCCTGCGTGGGAGCGTCTGGTTGCAAAGTGGCCATCAGGGAAGTGGATGCACAGGTAGGGCTGGTGTGGCTGCAGCTCATCCCTGGGACCGTGGACCCACGCCCCTTCCACCGGGTGCGGCCTCCAGGCCACTTAGCCCTTGGTCGAAAGGGTGTCTTTCAAGTTAGGGCAGCTCCCTGATCTCCTCTTACCCGGGGGCAGGTGGGAGGTTTCAGTGAGGGATTCCCATGTCTCTTTAACGATGAGGCTCTGCTGCTGTTCACGGACTCAGCCCCCACGTCTGTCGACTGCAGTCTCAGCTGCTGTAAGGGCACCCCCAAAACGCAGGGCCCAGGCACATGGGGTCCCTTTTTGTCCAGAGGAAGCTGGCAGGCATCGCCTTCCCACCTGGGGAATCCTGGTTGCCCCCAGCCCCCAGAAGGGTCAAGCCATCCAGGCTCTAGACTCTCAGCCTACCTCTCTCCAGCCCCAGGCCCACCTGCTCTAGGCCACTTGAGTATCTCAGGCACCTCATCCTCCTGCTCAGGCCTGGGTGAGCATTGTTCCCACCACCCGAATCCCAGCCTATGCCTTAGCTACTCCCTCACACCCTCCCCAGGGGGCTCTGACATCTGTCTGCACTGGAGGGGCTGTGCTCAGATCCAGGGGTCGCTCCACAGCCATGTCCAGTGGCTTCCTCACACCAGCTAGGAAGGGCAGCAACAGCACACGCGCACATGTGCACACACACGGGCACACACGCATGCACACGTCTCTGTCAGTGCTAATTTTTGGGCAAAGTGATGTCTGCCTACAGGAAACTGCTTCTTAAATTCTCGTAGGTAGATGATTTCTCATTTATAAACAAAATTTGCACCCAAAATGCCTTGAAATGTTTTTAATAGAATTGGTCTAGCAATCGTTCAGGATTTCAGTGATGGGCCCTCCCTGTCTGGACACTGCCAACCCACAGCTGAGGGGCATTTAAGGCACGTCATTTTGTGATTAGAATTACACAGTTTGATTAATATTACAGCTGCAAAATTAACATACACAATTTTCACTCATTTAAAATATTTTGTTTTGATGAAATTCTTTGCTTTCACAATAGATCAATAGTACACAGTATATTAACTCTGTAACAAAATTATTTTTGAGAAAATACAGAAGTGAGAAATAGTGATTTCCTCAATTTGTTTATAGTCTATTACAAAGTAGGCCAAAGTTCAGTATTAAATAAATAGATATCCTAATAAAAGTTTTTTACAAGTTTTCCTAAGGAAATACATTCATAAGACTGTTTACCTTCTGTTTGACAGCAGTGACAGGAACGTGGGGATTCCCACTCATGACGAGTCCCTAGCACTCGGCTCCTGGCACCCACGGCCCAGGCGCGCTGCATCACCCGGTGGGGTGCAGCCTGGGCTTCTGCGAGTGAGGTTTTCTCATTGGAACTCTGGTTCCATGTTTGTGCTTAGCCTGTGTGCGGTTCTCGCAAACACAGAACGCCTGCCTGCCCACCCCGGGTGTGAAGACTGACCGGTCAAGGAGGGGTTGGTGAGACTGTTGTGTTCACCATGTGGAGATCAGGTGGTGATTACCGCATCTTCTCTGCTGACTTTGGTAACTGGGTGTCCAGGGGGGAGCGACTGGGAGTGGCCAAGCTGTTGCCTGGACTCAGCTTCTGACTCTGCAGCCGGAATTCAGATACAGGCCCAAGGGTCCAGGGGAGTTGTTCAGCACCTGGAATCATGCACTGCGCTGTGGGCCACGCGACGCTTCTGGCTTGTTCTCCCAGGCACAGACAGGCACTTGGAAGGCAGCTTTGCTCCTCTGGTCACCCGGAGACCTCCTAGCAGTGCAGATGGGACAAACTGGGGGCCTGTGGGAACACACACTCATGCCCGGAAGGCCAGGCCCCGGCCTGCTCCGGTGAACGTCAGGATGGTGGCTGCAGCAGGGAACCAGGGCTGGCCTTGGATCTGTCCAGCAGGGTCACTGACCGGGCAGGCTTTGCTGCATAGAGGATGGCTGCATTTTGTGCTCAGAGTTGGTTGAAATGGCTGCGAAGTGTGGACAGTGACCACTGAATCCCAAAAGTCACTGCACTTGATCTGATCCAAATACCAGTGACTGCAGTTAGGGTCGAGAGCTTCTCCGAAGCAGGCGTCATGGAGGCTTTTGTGTGGCTGAGGCTTCCCTTTTTCACACAGTAAGAAGCTATCAATGGGAAACTGTGGACTTTTCCCACCAGGGACTCAATGTGCAATATTCAGTCAACATAAAACTCTTAAGAACTCCTCCTTACTGGTGACTGTCAACACTGGATCTAAGACGTGAATAGTCTAATTTTCCTGAGCAAGGAGCTGCGAGTCTGGCTTTAGAAAAGCCCTTAGGAGTGTCCCACCTCCACCGCGCAGGCAGGTTTTAGGTGGGGTGGACACTGTGGGACTTGCCCTCTGAGGGATGGATGGACTCAGAGCCCCTCCCCGGCTCAGCACCCGCGGCCTCCGCCCACTCAATGGACTGCGCCTCCCAGATCTCACGCTGGATGATCTCCCTGCAGAGGACCAGAAGCTCTGTCCAAGCCCTCGGCCTGGGATGCTGGAAGGGGTGGGAAGGGTCCGGGGTCCAGGACAGGCCCAGGGGTCTCAGCAGGTCCTCCTTGGAGGGCCTGAGCCTGGTGAGGGGGACGGTGCCCTGGGCCCCTCCATGCCCCCTTGGTTCGCCCTGCTTTGTTAAGGGGGCCAGAGGAGCTGCTGGGCCCCACAGTCCACTTAAGGAATGGCCGTGATTCTTGGAAAGCGCCGCCCACCAGGCCACCTTTCACCCAGCCAGGGCCCCCGGGGCGACCTCTGGGCCAGGTGCGACAGCTCAGGCCAGAGACCTCGTCTGTGGGGGACGGGCAGTGCCCGCGGCCGCCACCCTGAGACCTGGCGCGGGCAGGACGGAACCTGGAGGGGGAACGAGGCAGGTGCTGGCTCTAGGAGTCTAAATCCCCAAGCGCTGTGTAGACGGAAGACGTTCCCGCCACTTTACCTGCAGCTCAAAGACCTGGCGAGGGCCTGGAAACGGCGCTCGGCCAGGGCCGCTTGCGGGGCCGGGCCTGCAGCCGCTGCAGGTCTGGCCCTGAGTCCTGGCGCTCGGGAGGTCCCTGAGTCGGTCCCCGGGGAGAGGTGCGTGGCTCGGGGGTGGGGGCCCGGAGCCTTGGGCTGGTTTCACGCAAATCCGTTTTGGGCGAGCCTCGGTTTCCCGGCAGCGGTGGGAAAGGGCGCGAGCGGCCAGCCACGGCGCGCGGGCCCTTCCCGCCGGCGGCTTCACAGCGGCGTCTCCTCCTGCTCCAGCGCGTGCGGCGGTGCGTGGCACGAGGGCGGCAGCGACGCCAGCTTCAGCAGGGCGGGGCGGCGGCGCGCGCGGGGCCGCTGGAACGAGCGCCGGCTGTGCACGCGGCGCGCCGCCGCCGAACGCGCGTGCGCACTCGGCAGTCCCCGGCGCTCCGGCCCCGGCCCAGCCCCCGGTGCAGGCCCCGCCCCCGGCTCGCGCTCGGGCGGCTCTGCGGGCGCGGCCGCGGAGCTCTCGGGGTTCTGCGCAGGCGCGGGCGGGACGGGGCTCGGGGCGCGCGGCCGCTGTAACCGCGCGGGGATCAGGGGCTTCTCCGGGGCGGCGGCGGCCGCGGCTGGCGGCCCGTGGCGTGGGGACGAGCGTCCGGTCAGCGGCGTGTCGGAGCCGGTGTCACCTGCGGGAGAGCAGGGCGTGAGCGGCGCGCGCAGCCCGGGCGCTAGGGCGGGAGGGGTGTCTCCGGGCGGTTTAGCTCTCCCCGAGCCCGGCGGCTCTCGCCTCCCCTCCCGCCGCGCACCCGGGGCTCGGCGTCCACCGGGGCCACCTCCCAGGACCCGGTTCGCAGGGCAGAGGCGGAAGCAGCAACAGCGAAGCCCCACCCTGGCCCAGCCACATCCCACCGCCGGGGGTCCCGGACAGCGGCCTTCTCCGTGCAGGAAGGTCCCGCCCCTCGACCTGCAGCGCGGGAGGTCAAGGTCCCCAACGGGGAAACCTGCTTCCTCCATCTCAAACCGCCCTGGCGTTCCCCGGGTGCCTCCCAGGCCCCCAGAGGGAGCTCACAAAGCCCAGACCCTGTGGCGCGCCCTGAGCTGGAGGCAGAGCCCGGGTCTGCGGGGCCGGCCCTCCCTGTAACCCTGTGGGAGGATAGGGGACCCGGGGCGTGTGGCTCCCCCTAGCCCTGCTCTCAGCTCCCTGGGAGCGCAGGAGTTGGACTCGCGGACTAGCTTTCGGAGCCACCTAAAGGAAATCACAGCCGGCCCTGGGGCCCTCAGCTCCGTGGGAGCAGCAGAGACGCCAGGGTCTGTCCGGGCTCCTGAGGGAGGTGCGGCCAGCAGGGCGCTAGAGGAGGAAGAGGGGCTGCTGGAGAGAGAGAGCGCCAGGTTCAGGTCCAGGGAGGAGGAGGAGAGAGAGCGCGAGGCGGAGACCTGGAGGGAAAGGAGCTGCGGAGAGAGGGGTTAGGTGGCAGGAGGCCCGGGAGCGTTACATGTGTGTGGACTCGGGGAGGGCGGCGGGGGGCCGCTCCTCGGGGCCGTCTGCCTGCAGGAAGGAGTCCACCGACTTGCTGCTGAGGCGGAAGGGCGTCAGGCGGCGGAAGGTGCTGGGAGAGTGGGGAATCTGCGTGCGGGCCCTCTGCGAGGGGACCACGGTCTCCCCGGGAGACAGCCAGGGCGGCAGCCTGGCCAGGAGGCTGCGGTCCAGGGCCTCATCCGGAGAAAACACAGGGTTGTCAATTCCTAGGAGAGAGGGCAGCGGCCGGTCAGCCTCCTGGGAGCCCTGCGGCGGCAGGGGAGGCCTCGCGGGGGCTGTCACCTGCTGCGTGCCCTGGAAGGTTAAAGTCACCTGGAATAGGATCACCGGGAAGGTTAGGGTCACGTGCCTTTCAGGTTGCAGGCCCTTGCCCCACATCCATGACCCCACACACCACAGGCAGCACAGGTGAGGTCTCCCTTCCCTCAAGACACACCCCGTCTGCTCCCTGCCCGGCCCATGTCTTCTGGGACAGCAGCCTCCGAGTTGGTTGAGGAGGCACTTGAGGTGCCAGGCAGGGCCCTTGAGAACCCACAGGAGATCCCCCCCCACCAGGTCCCAGTGCCCCTGGTCCAATGACTGAGCTCCCTCCTGGGGCAGCAGGAGCTGCCCCTCCCTGGGCCACGACGCCTGTGCCCTGTCCCCACCTGCAGGGGAGTCGGATGCTGTGTCCTTAGTGACACTGGCCAGGAACTCGATTCCCCCACTCATCTCCTCATCATAGTTGGGGTGCTCCTCGGTGTCTGAAAGTTCCAAGTCTGGAGGAGACAGGCTGGGATGAGGACTGGGGTCACTAGGGGGCTGTCCTCACAGCCGGTCAGCCGTGTCCATCAGCTCTGTGCCCAGAGGTGCAGGGGGTCGGGACCCACAGAGAGAAGGGCTAAACCGCAGGGCTGGGGGAGGGCGAGGAGGGACCCCACTTGGAGGGCAGCACCCCTGGAACCCCATCCTGGGTGGGTCTGCAGCTGGGGCCCTGACCGTGCCTCCCTGCCTGGGTGGCTGGAGGGTCCTGAGAGGGGAGGGCCCCGAGAGGGGAGGGCTGGGGCTGGGAGGTGGTGGCTCCCAGCATTTCCCACAGGGCCCCCAGCGCACCTTTCTCTTTGATGGTGAAATTCTGCACAGGGTTCTCCATGGGCAGCTTCCCATTGGGGATGCTGCTGTTTCTCTGTGGGGCAAACGTGAAGCTGCTCACAGACCCTGACACAGCCACACCCAGCCCGGACTGCCCCCGCTCCAGGCCCCCGCCGCGTCGAGCCTCCTGGTGACCCGGCCTCACCCGCTTCTGGGCACGCTCCCGCTTGTACATCTTGGCTGCCTTCTTGTTCTGGTTGAGCCCCAGCTTGGTCGACTTGAAGGACTCCAGGCGCTTCCGCATGGTCCTGTGGAAGATTTCCCGGTCCTGCTTCTCGTCCTCCGTGGGCGTGAGCTCGTGCCGGCTGTACAGATGCTTGTACTGCAGGGTTGGGCACGGAGGTCACAGCTGTGCCCAGCACCGGACACTCCCGCCCTCCTGCCGCAGGGGCTGAGCGCGGATCCCCCATGGTCCTGGGAGGGGACCAGGAGGCCACCCTACAGCGGTCCCTGCGGGCGCGTCCAGCCCCCAGCCTGCGGGGCCCACCTCCTGCCGCGGCTTGTACAGGTACTGCTGCAACGTGTGGTGCGTGACCATGTCCTCCGCGTCCCGGATGCTCCGCCGCCGCTGCTCCAGAGACTGCATGTCCAGGCAGACGGCGCTGACATTCTCTCTCCTGCACGGGGACCAGCGCTGAGCCACACAGGCTCCCTCAGGGTGGGGTCTCCTGCCCACCCCTCGCCTTCCCAGGGCGGGCATCCGGCTGGGGCACGGGGCCACCTGGCCAGCCCCTTCTCCCCTCGGGGCTTAGGCTGACTCCCCACGAGACCTTCCCGGCCTCCTTTCTGAGGTGGATCCCCCTCCTCACTGGTCCCCCTCCGAGCCCTGGCTGTAAGACTTGGGGACCCTGGCGTCTGCACACCTGGCAGAGAGGACCTCCCGTGAGAACTGGCCGTGAGCTGTGGAGCCCATGGCTGGAGGGGCAGTAGGGGTGGCATGGGGACCAGGACAGGCTGCTCCTGGCCGGGGGCAAACACGTCAGGCCCGGCCCCCAATCCACTGCTGCCCCTCCCTTTCACCTTGCCTCCAGCACTAAGGGAGTCTGGCCACCGCATAACACAGGGGAGCGCTTGCTGGAGGGGACACCCAGCCCCTCTTTCTGCACCCCTCCACTCCCCCATTGCCACTCCCAGGCCAGGAGCCACCCCAGCCCCTTCCGTGACTCTCAGCTGGGTTCTTCCCCAGGGAAGCTGCATGACCCTGGCCACGTACAGGAGGTATGAGACAGAGGCCTCCACGGTGGATGATCGTGGCGTGAAGTCCACGTTGACCATGTTGTCAGTGCTGGGGGAGCGGATGAAGGCCAGGGACCCACGGCGCTCTCCCTATGGTCAGGAAGCAGCCCGGTCAGTGGCCTGAGCAGCCAAGCCCTAGGTCCAGGACCTGCAGCAGCTGCTGCCGTTGTGTGCCCTGGGGGAAGCGGGGAAGTGCCCAGAGCTCGGGGCCCAGGGAAGGCCTTGAGACCTGAGTCCCGGGTTCTCCCCTCACAGCTGCAGAGGGGAGGAGATGCCAAAACCAGGAGATCAGATTTTGAGCCTCTGTCCATCTGTCTGAGGCCACAGCCAGACCGCTGCCTGAACTGGGCAGAGGTAATGCTTGTGGGAGGACACAGTGGTCTGAGTGTGAAGGGGTAAAGCTGCCTAGGACTTGGGGGGTGTCTGGGGAAACTGCTGATATGCAGAATCAGAAGTGGCCCCTGTCCCTGCCAGAGGCCCTAAAACCCCATTGGCCTCATGTCCAGAAATGAATCAGTTCGAGGGAACGGAGCAGAGCCTGATGGGGCACAGAAGCCGCACAGCCGAGTGCCAGAGGACGGGAGTGGGGCCGCCTGTGTGTCCTCAGACCCCACCCACCTGATGGCAGGGCCTGGAGAGCGTGAGGCTGTGGAGGAGTGCAGGGCAGGGTGGGCGTGTGGCTGCAGTCAGGGTCTCCAGGGCCAGCGGGGGCACAGGTGTGGAGGGAACGTCAGCTCACTGCGCTCAGACCTCGCCAGGTGGGCACCCGCGCCGCCTTGCAGCAGCAGGACGCTCCCAGGAGAGCCCCCGGGGTCGGGTGGGGGCCGCTGCTCCCACTGAACATGTGGCCCCCACTTCACTGCCCACTCTGGGGCGCTCTGCCTGCTATTTTGCTTCTAAATCCAGCGTCTTCTGTATGACCTTTGTCCCTCTGTCCCTCTCCTGCCACCCCGTGAAGACACGTGAGGGTCGGGGGAGCCACAGTGCCAGCTGCCACTCTGGGCAGGCACAGGCGAGGGCTGGAGCACCTGGGCACATGGGGTCTTTGGAGGGGCTGTTCCCCACACCACTTCCCCTGCCCCTGCCGAGCCCCACACTGTGGGGCGGGGGGGCGCAGGGGGAGAGAGCAGCTGCCCTGTGTGAGAGCCAGGAGGGACATCGGGCAAGCGGACGCCACCCCAGGTGTGGAGACCCAGGCTACTGAGTGACCAGGAGGCACCCACGGGCTCCCCACATGCAGCTGAGCCCAGGGTCGTGGTCATGGGTCATGGGTCAAGGATGGTGGCTGGTGGGGTTGGGGGAGAGGTTCAAGGCCCGCCTACTGACCTTGTCACCCATGTGGGGGTGAGGGAAGCCCGCCAGAGGCTAGAGCCCCCACTGCCCCTTCCCACTCTCCAGCCAGGCTCCAGGCCTCCTAGGCCAGGGTATCTGAACTTTCTCTCACTTGCCGGTCCTGTGGTTTGGGGGTTTGTGTGGAGCCTGGTCCAGGGGCCCTCCTTCCTGATCTGCACTGGCTAGCCCTCCTGACAGCCCCAGGCCCCTATGCCCTCTGCCAGGAGGCGCCTTGCCACGCGGCGTGGCCCCAGTCATGGGTGGCACATCTGGGGTGAATGCACGTCAGTAGAGGCAGAATCATCCTATCTGAATGAATGGAGTTTCCCGGCCCCCGCCGGCCCTCTGTGTGAGGGTCTGCAGGGTTTGGCAGGCCAGGCCTTTCCCTCTCACGAGAGCACCAACCCCCACCGGCTGCTGGACGAGGGCACCAAAGCTCGCTAGGGAGGACTCTGTCCTTAGGGAGGAGCCGCAGGGCCCAGAGGGAGCAGAATCCCTGCAGCTGTGCCCCAGGCCCTGCGTTGCGCAATTCCTGCAGCCAGAGCGCCCCTGGGGAGGTCAGGGCAGGTCGGGGAGGCTGAGGCCCACCTGCCATGGTAGGCAGGTGCAGGAGCCAGTGGCAGCAGTGGCCCCGGGTCTGGGTGGGGCCCCTGGCCTCTGGTCTCTGGAGCAGATGGGCTCAGAGTGGACTGGGAGATGCTGGGGCAGCCTCAAAGCCACGGCCGGCCCACAGCGGGAGACAGCCCTGCTGCTGCCCCTCCGCCTGTGCTTGTGGGTCTGTGGGCACCTGTGTGGGCTGGGGCAGGCCCAACTGTGTTAGGACCAGGTCCCATAACAGCCTGCCTGCTTACCGTCCACTCCCATCTCCAGGGAAAGCAAGAGAGCGCAGGGTCCTAGGACCTAACCTCAGCGCTCACCCCCCACCAGCGCCGCAGTCACCAGGACTCTGTGACTCAGTTTACCCCACGTGACAGCCAGCTGGGATTCCCAGGGCATCAAAGGCCCATCAGCCTCCTGTGAACTTCTGGGGTGGGCCTGGCCTTGGGACACCGGTGCAGGGGCCTCTCCTCACTGCCCCCGTGGCGCCCACAGCCAGTGCCCGAGCCTGCTGCACCCCGACCCGACAGAGGGAGCAAGCGGCTCAGCTACCTCAGCCACGTAGCTGATGGCGTCCTTCAGGTTCAGCTCGTGGAAGACATTCAGGATCCGGTCTCGAGACTTCTGGGCCGACCGTCTCATGAGGACCCTGCTGAGGAACTTTCTGTCGAAGTGGGACCACCTGTAGGGACAGACCTCAGGTGTGAGCCTCAGGCAACAGGCGCCCTGGAGCCCAGACCGTGGCCGGCCACTTCTCTCCTGAATTGTATTTGCTGTAACGACCCTGCAGGCGCATTTAAAATGAGGGAAGCAGCCTCTGCCACGCGCCCAGGCATTCCACTTTCCAGCGGCCGCCTCCTCCAGAGGGTGGCTCAGGAGAGGGTGGGCATCAGGCCTGGTCGGGCAAGGGGGCTCCAGCCACGTGGGGGGCACTTTTCAGCTGCACAGGAGGAAAGGCAGGGGCAGACAGACGCCCTGAGCCCTTAGACTTGCGAGAGCCAAGCTGACCAGAGTGAGGTTTTTTAGCCTAACAGAATTAGAGTATTTGCCGGTTATCCGGATCAGAAGGGATGGTGGCCTGACTGGACGTAGAGGAAACTCTGGCGCACAAGGAGGTGATGCCTGTCACTCTTGAACATGGGCACAGCTGCCAGAGCTGCTCCCCGGGGCAGAGGGTGGGCCCCGGTGAGCTTGTGTGCTCACACCTGGGCAGGCCCCGTGGCAGCAATGGCAGCTCTCCTGTGCAGGTTGAGTTTCAGCCACACCAAGAAGTCAAAGCTAACTGAGGCCTGCCTTCTGAGACCCCTGGGATGGCCCCTGGGAGGCCAAGGAGTCGGGTACTGGGTACCTGGAGCAGAGTCACTGTGGCCACGGAGAACCGCAGCTGAGCTTTGTGAAGCCACGTGGCCACACCTCCCAGTGCCTCCTCCCCCACCAAACACAGACCACTCAGATAATAGGAACCCAGGGCAAATTGTATGTGCTACTTACTGGGTTTATTATAAGTGTCAAATGTATTTTATAATAAAACATAGGTGATTTCAGCTTAATGGACAAAATCTTTTTTTATTTTGAGACGAAGTCTCGCTCTGTCACCAGGCATGAGTGCAATGGCACAATCTCAGCTCACCGCAGCCTCCACCTCCCGGGTTCAAGTGATTCTTGTGCCTCAGCCTCCTAAGTAGCTGGGACTACAGGCGCCCGCCACCACCCATGGCTAATGTTTGTAGTTTTAGTAGAGACGGGGTTTCACCACGTTGGCCAGGCGTTTCTCCAACTCCTGACCTCAAGTGATCTGCCTGTAAGTCTCCCAAAGTGCTGGGATTACAGGCTTGAGCCCCGCCAGACAAAATTGTTTTAAATGTTGACTGATACTAACACTATTTATGACATGGAGGAAATAATCTATTTTCCTGACTTTCAATTCCTACATAACTTAACAATCTGGAATTAATTGTGCCACATGAGAGGGTGTCTCTATTCCCTGGAAGGAGCACAGGGAATTCAGCTTCCATCCCCTCGCTCGGTGGCCCCGACTGCTGCCACCAACTCCTTTCGGCAGCACCTGTGTGGGGGCACACCTGGCACCTGGCCTCACGGGGCACCTGTGTGTCTAGGGGCACACCTGGCACCTGGCCTCATGGGGCACCAGAGCCCTCACCAACCCTGGACTCAGACAGCTACGCATGTGGCTTCCGGCTCTTCCAAGTGGAGGATGTTCCCAGAAGCCGGGCTGTGTGGCACAGCCAGGGCAGTCCCAGTCACTTACTTGTCTCTGAGATAATTGTGCCCTATCTGTCCCGATATGTCCTCGATGGCCGAGAGGATGTGGTCGAAAGCCTTTCAAGAGAAGAAAGATGGGAGCATTTGGGGCGGCCAACCGGGGAACATGACATGCCCCCCTCCCTTCCCGGCCCAGCCCCGAGGAACCCACCAGCCCCACTCACGAATCCCCCAGCCCCAGATGCAGCCTCCCCTCCCCTCCCGGCCCAGCCCTGAGGATTATGCGGTGCCCCTCGCCATCCCCCGAGCCCTGGACGTACGCGGCCATGCAGCTTCTCGTTGAGCCGGGGTTCCCGGTGCTCACTCCTCTTCACCTTCAGCCACTGCACCAGGGGCTTGATGGTCAGGCCCTGGAGGACGGGGTCTCGTGATCCTGGTGCCAGGCAGCCCCCCACATCCTGCTGGCCCCACTGGGTGCACCACACAGAGCTGCCTGCCCCGGGGCTCGCAGATGCCTTCCCTGCACTCCGGGCGCCCAGCAACCTGCGCCCCTGCTTTGCAGAGGAGGAAGCAGCACCCGGGGCCTCATCCACCAGCGAAGGCTCGGGAAGAACGTTTTTAGGACAATTATGCTTCCTCCCCAGTGGGGCCACGTGAAAACCTACAAAACGGCTCCCAGTTGCTAAAATTATAAAACCCAATTAGGGTCTGGAGCCTGGAAATGCTCGTCCTGAAGTGCAGGATGGGTCCAGGCGCCCCTTGCGGGCGGGGCCGAGACCCCAGGGCTGGCTGGGCTGGGCCTCACCTGGAAGATGACAGTGAAGAACACTACGATGATGGTAGTGCTGACAAACAGGTTCTTCTCCTTGACCTTCTCTCCATCCAGAAGCACCACCAGGGCAAAGGCCACGGCCCCACGCAGACCCCCATAGGACAGGACCACCTGGTCAATGGGCTCCAGCTGCACCATTCGGTAGCGGTTGAGGAGCCAGGTCTGCAGGACCACACCTGTGGGGGGATCACACCTGTGGATGGGACCACACCTGTGGATGGGACCACACCTGTGGGGGATCACACCTGTGGATGGAACCACGCTTGTGGATGGAACCATGCCTGTGGGCAGGACCATGCCTGTGGATGGAACCATGCCTGTGGGCGGGACCACGCCTGTGGACGGGACCATGCCTGTGGGCGGGACCACGCCTATGCATGGGGACCACGCCTGTGGGCGGGACCACACCTGTGGATGGGGTGGCACTCAGCTCCCCGGCCGCCCTCCCAGCTGCAGGACCCCAGCCCGTCTGGGACAGCGTCTTGGTGGCCAAGCGTGTGCTGATGAAGAACAGCGGCAACCCTAGATACGGCGTCCCCATGCCACGTCCCTTGTCACCATCCACCCGGAGCCACACGCTGCCTGGCGTCTCCCCCACATGCTCTGTGCATCACACACACGGGTGCTGGGGGATGGGGCTGGGCGGGGGCAGGGCTGTCTTGCCTCCTGTTCCATCTCCCAAGCCACTGACCCTGTCTTGAGGCACATCCAGGCTGAGTCAGTGGGAAACCAAGTGGTTTCCCTTGGGGTTCCAGAGCCTTCCACCCCAGCCCCGAGGCCACCACCATTGGTCCTCCTCTGCCTCGCGTGGGGCTGCGCCTCCATCTCGCTGGGCCCAGTGGAAAGCCTGCACCTTCCCGGAGATGGTGCTGGCCCATCGGTGGCCCCACGGCCGCAACCCAGCCCCGCCTCACCGATGGCCCGGTACACGGAGATGAAGACCAGCGTCAGGAGCACGAAGGCCGTATTCCAGGTCCAGATGAATGGGTTCACGGCCGAGATACCCAGGAACATGAAGATGATGGTCTCAGCGCCGCTGGCCAGCATCTTCATGGTGTAGCGCACGGTGGTGGCCGACTGCTCCGAGATGTTGGCCTTCACATACTTCTGACAGCAGATGCCACAGAAGGTGATGCTGCAGGGACAGACGCGCTTCAGGACATGGCCACCTGGCCCGGTGCCCCAGGCCCCTGCATCCGCCCAGCCCCCCACGGCCTGGCGCCTGCAGGCAGAGTCACGGTCATCTGGTTACAGGGGGGCCTCTCCCTCCCAAGCCAGGCTGGGCCGCCAGGGTTCCTGCCCACGGCTCTGCAGGGCCACAGGCAGCTGTCGTCATCATGCAGATATGGGCACCAGGGCTGCCTGCCAGCAGGGATGGCAACAAAGGGTTCCAAAGTCCCTCACTGCCTGACCTGTCTCGGGGTGGGTACTGCTGTCAGCCCACGGACAATTCAGTGGAAACGCCAACTCCTTATTTTAAAATTTAAATAAACCAAATTCTTCGCCCCACACTGAACTCCCAGTCAGCTTGGGAGCACCCGCAGAGCGGGCGAGACGACAGACGGAGGGCGGGGCAGGCCTTCCACTTCCGCTTGCTGGGGCTCATGGGGAACTTGGTGATGCGGAGCCTGGGGCTCCTGCCATGCACATCCCCCGTGTCCACCCAGCTGGCACCGCCCTCCGCACCTGGGTCCCCGTGGCTGGCACCGCCCTCCGCGCCTGAGTCCCCGTGGCTGGCACCGCCCTCCGCGCCTGGGTCCCCGTGGCTGGCACCGCCCTCCGCGCCTGGGTCCCCGTGGCTGGCACCGCCCTCCGCGCCTGGGTTCCCGTGGCTGGCACTGCCCTCCGTGCCTGGGTCCCCGTGGCTGGCTCTCCCCGCCGGGCCCAGGAGGGCGTGGAGAAGCTCGCGTGTAGGGGAGGGACTCACGCAAGGATGGCCGACAGCGACAGCATCTCGGACGTCAGGTAGGACAGGTAGGAGATGACGAACACAAAGCCGGGTTCGATGATGCGCACGTGCTTGGTGAAGCGCGTCACCAGCGACAGCAGGAAGGCGAAGACCACCCCCACCAGCGTGCCCCCCAGGCTCACCACGAAGAAGGACACTGGGGAGAGGATGCCCTTTGTGGCCGTGTTGGCCTTCCGGGCCCTTCCTTGCCAGGGGCCGCCTGGTGACTGCGCAGAAGTGCCGGGAACCCGGGAAAGGGGGTGGATTCCTCACTCTCCTGGAGACTGGGCCTGGTCTCAGCACCTCTCAGGGGAGAGGACCCTCCTGTGCCCCCGGGAGCCTGGCCCCAGGCCCCATCCGGCCATCTCTCCCAGGGAGACCTGGCTGCCCTCATCCCTGTTCCAGGAAACACCCAGGAACCCCCAGGACTGTTTCAAATCGTGTGTGAATCGCTGTGGAAGGGGACGTGACATGGACAGAGGGCCCAGTGCAGCAGCTTTGAGTGCAAAGCTTTTCTCTGCATGGGCTGCGGGCCAGGCGTAGAGAGAAGACAGTCGGCCCCAGAGGAGACACAGCCGCCCACTCCCCAGACCCACGGCTACACACCTATGCCTTTCACGCAGTCCACGCCAGTCACATTGTCACCTCCCAGCGCCACGAAAGATTCAAACACATTGTACAGGACCTGCAGGGACAGAGACGGGCACGGCGTTGGGTGGTCCTTGGTCAGTGCCACCCCCTCTCCGGGGCCTGGGCCTCTCCGGACATGGCCTGAGAGCCCACGGCACCCGAGGCCTTTGGAAGGAAAATCATCACAGGGCAATGGCCCCCAAAGGGGAGAAGGCCAGAGCCCAGAGGCCAGCAGGACACAGGGGGCAAAAGACTGTTCTGGAGGGCACTAGAAGCTTCGGGAGCAAAGCTGGCCTCTTCCTATCCTCTGCAAAATAGGGGCAGCTGCAAAGCTCACCTGCCATTCGAATTCTGAGTCTCATTTACGGAGACAAACCCAGGGTTTCAGTTTGAGTGACTTCACTGCTGTGCTGGTTCCAGCCCCTGCTGTCTTCGCGTGTTTTTAAACCTTAGTCCAGCAAGACCCGGAGATAAAATGCGGGGAAACCTTATCCACACCCTGGGCTCCACGCCGAGCAAAGCGATGATGCAGGTGGGACCTGCCGGGGGCCGTCCTGGGTGGGCCGAGGCCCCTGGGGAGAACCTGGCTCTGCGCCCAGCTCTGTGTCTCTGGCTCTGGTCAAGGTGGGAGAGGACCCTGGGGCAGGCGTGTAAGTTGTGTTTGCAAATGCAGGCTGGGGCGGGGGGGTGCCCATGAGGGTCTCGGGGTCTCTTGGGGCCTTCTCGGAGCTGGGCTTTTTAATGAAAATCTAGCTGGGAGGGAAGACAACCTCTTAGGAGACTCTTCTACAGGGACGGAGCTGCAGGGCTGCAGGGCACACAGGGCTTTCACTGTATTCCTTGTGCGATTAAGTCTCACTTCCCAGATTCCCCTGAGGATATCTTTGCAATCTGGTGTGTGACACCCACAGGACTTTCCTCTTTCCAGAACCCTAAGGGAACATGAGAAGCTGACGGGTTTCTTACAGAAGCCGCAGGCACTTTTAGAGGGGAGAGGAACCTGACCGCAGGCTTCCTTCCGGCTGTGCCTGCAGGGTCCTCGGGGCTGGGGGAGGACGGGTAGGGGTGGCGCGGGGCTGGGGCAGTGTGGGGGCTGCGGTGGCACCAGGGCCGGGCCCAGGGCTGGCCTCACTGACTGTTCCTAAGAGGTCCGCTCTGCACGTGCCCCTCTGGTCGCCCCATGACTCACTTCCGGGAGGCAGTGGCCCCATTTGATGGGATTGGCTTTGAAACGTCACGATTGCCACTGTGAAGTGGCAACCGTGTTCCTCAGGGTTCCTGAATCTTCTCCTGGCCTTGCTGAGCGCTGATGTGGCCTTTGGGCCTCTGTGAAGGCACCATCCCCACCCACCCACCCACCCACAGAGCCTGGCAAGCTCCTGGAACGCCGTCTCCTCGACGGACCACACACCCTCGGTGCTCTGCCGTCAGCACCAGCTGTTTCCCTCCCTTCACCTCTGTCGTGGGCCAGATTGTGCCCCTGAAATTCCCACGTTAAACTTCCCAGGACCTGGGCATGTGAGTGTTAAAGAGGGGAGTACAGCACAGTGAGGTCACCGGGGTGGATCCTGATCCAATCGGACCCATGTCCCTGTGAGAGGAGGAGATTAGGGCACATTCGCACAGGGACGGCCACGTGAGGACACAGGAAGGCACCGTCTTCAAGCCCAGGACCAGGGTCCCGCAGGAGCCCACCGCACTGACACCGTGATCCGGAACGGTGCAAGAATAAATGTCCAAGGCACCAGACCTGTGGTATTTGTTACGGCAGCCCTGGCAGATTACACGGTTCCTATGGGATTTTGTTGTTTGCTTATGCATGTATTTATTTTATTGGAGATGCAGTCTCACTGTGTCGCCCAGGCTGGAGTGCAGTGGCACGATCTCCACTCACTGCAACCTCTGCCCCCTGGTTTCAGGCGATTCTCCTGTCTCAGCCTCCTGAGTAGCTGGGATTATAGGCGCCTGCCACCACCCCCGGCTAAGTTCTGTATTTTTAGTAGAGATGGGGTTTCACCATGTTGGCCAGGCTGGTCTCGAACTGCTGACCTCAGGTGATCCACCTGCCTCAGCCTCCCACAGTGCTGGGATTACAGGCGTGAGCCACTGTGCCTGGTCATTCATGTATTTTTTAGGAACTCAGGAATGGGTGGCAGTAACTATGGGTCCAAAGTCACAGACGCTCTGGGGACCAGGAGGGTGGGATTTCAACAGCGGCATCATTAACCCTGAAGCTATGGAGTGGGCAGGCCAGGCCTAGGAACTGAAAGTCCAAAGAAGCCTGGCGAAAGCCGCCAGTGGTTCTGAGCTGGGAGGAGGGAGGTGGAGGGACGGGACGCCCCCGGGAGGGGAGTTTGGGGACAGAGTTCCACGCCCTCTTTGCTGACTGACTGATGAGGGGTGAGAAGGGGCCCAGGCCTCCCACGGCTTGGCTGCTCTGGAGCAGTCGTTCTGTTGCTCACCACGGTGACTGCGTCATTCAGCAGCGACTCCCCGAAGACGATGATGAACAGGACCTCGTTGACGTGGACCTCCTCAAACACAGCCAGGACGGCCACCGGGTCCACAGCAGCGATGAGGCTGCCAAAGAGGAGGAAGTCCAGCAGCCCGATCTTCAGGTCGCCTGGAAGACAAGCCAGGCCGTGGGGCAGCTGCAGGACCCGCCACCAGAGAAGGAGGGCCCTGGGGAGAGGCTGGGTCGGGGGTCTGAGCCTGTCTGGCTGGCGCTGGTGGCATGGGGAGCTGGGTCGGGGGTCTGAGCCTGTCTGGCTGGCGCTGGTGGCATGGGGAGCTGGGTCAGCCTCCTGCATCCCTCCCACAGGCCCCAGCGCCCTCCAGGGAAGGCTGGTGTCTTCCTAGGGGGCCCATCCCATCCGAGCAAGACAGACAGACAGGCCAACCCTGGCCCTCTCCTTCGTATTTGGGTGGATGGGGGCCTCAGCTGGCACAGCGCAGCCTAGAGAGAATCAAGCCCCTCCCGCCGCAACACCAGGGTTCCCAGCCCAGCAGTGAAGGCGTCTGAGGCAGGTGGGTGCAGGGGGACCCCATGCTGGGGAGGGACGGGGGCCCATCACCTGGAGTGACGTCCCAGGAGGACCAAGTGGGGCCGACCGAGGACAGGCCTGGAGCCGGGACACACAGCACCGTGGGGCACAGCCAGGGAGGGGCAGGTGGGAGGGCTGTTGGGGGTGTGGGGGCAGACTGTGGGGATAAGCAGGGCTGCGGTGGGAGCAAGGGACCTGAAAGACGTGGGTCCACGTGGTCCCCAGCTCCCGGCCGGCTTCCCTCCCTGCACCTGCCTGTGGGCTCTGGCGCCCCTCGCTGGGGAGGTTTTCCTGAAATGCAGCCTCATCCTTCACAAGTCTTTGCCATTCAACCCAGGGTTCAGGCCTCATGGAGGCCATGTGGGGGTACCAGGCTCCAGGGGACCCTCAGGGAACTGAGTGTGGCCACATGGCCCCGAGAGCCTGCCCTTGTTCACGGCCGCAGGGCTCAGAGGACACTGGGCCTCTCTGCTGCCTTCCCGGCCATGAGGGTCCAGGGACCAGGAGACGTGAGGGTGTGGGAGAGGCCACCCAGGGAGGGGATGCCCCCAACGAGCCCCCCACACACAGCTTCTGCCTCTCTGCTGGGCTGGAGTGGAACCCACCACCCCTCTGGCCTGAGGCTTGGGCTTGTGGGCGGTTTGTCCCTGGAGCCAGATGGGCCCCAGGAGACAGCAGAGTGCAGCCTGACCAGGGGTTCCTTTGCTAGCGCCTGGGCGGGGACGGATTGGGGTCATCTCTGCGGTGACTAAACCCCGAGTTTGCTGTGAGCTCCTAAGCCCCGGCAGCCTCTGGCCAGCGTCACAACACCCCGAGGAAGTGACAGATGCCAGAAGAAGCAGCATTCGGGGAGTTCAAGTCTTCTCGTTGGAATGGGAACCACACAAGCCTTCTCCACCTCCACACTCAGGCCTCAGGATGCGAATCCCCTTCAAGGTCATCTTTAAACTCAGCCTCCTGGCTCTGCCACCCCCAGGGCACTGATGGCCCTGGTGGATGTCCTGGGACTCCAAGCAGGCAGGGGTCCTGGGGTCAGCTGCGTTCAAACTCCCCGGCCAGCAGTCTTCCCGTCTGGGCAGTTTCCCATGTGCTGGCCATGCCAGGAGGGTTCATGCCACCAGACTGTGTGTTCCAGGCCTCTCTCCACCATGTGCTTTGCCTGTGTAAGGGCCTCTGATGCCTGAAGCTCCCGTAGGGCCTGTCCCCGTGCTGCCCGGACAGCCCCCAGGCCAGCACTGCCATGTCGACCCTTTCCCGTGGGGCACATCTGGCCTTGAGACGCTCCACAGGGCTTGGTCAGTCGCAGCCTCCCAGCTCTCTAGGACTCCCAGGAATGGGACAGACCTGCCGGCCATGGGCATCTCTGTTCCAGGACCTCAAGCAGCACCCAGCTTTGACCACCTGGGCCCTGAGGCTGAGTGCAGGCCTCCAGCATCCATGTCACCTGGGGAGCGGCCTCCCTCGAGAGGGCACATCGATGGCCAGGACACGTGTTTCCCACAAGCAGCGCTGTTGGAGGACAATGGAGCCCAGTGCAGCGAGGGGCAGGGGTGGGCCAGGGCCGACGTCCTGGTGTTGGGAGTCCTCCAGGCTTCATGGTGTAGGTGCAGCAAGGACGTCCTCCTCCAGGCTCGGCCAGTCGCACTGAGGACATTCTGCTTCGTACAAGGGAAATGTGGCAGTGTCTCTGGCCAGTGCTAGACGGGGACCATCGGGACCAGCAGCCACAGAGCCATGGCGTGTGCCTGGCTCTCAAAGGAGCGGCCCTGACGGCCAGACTGGTCAAAGGCTACTCTGTCCCACACTCAACACGGCTGGGAGGAAGTGCTTGGCTGGGATCTCATGGGCGAGGGGCCATCTAGCAAGGTAGGCATGACCCTCAAGGGGCCACAGGTCCAGGAGTCTCTGCTACAACCCCTGAGGCTTTCCCTTGGGTCCAGTGGTGAGGGCAGCTGCCCTGTCCGAGGTGGGTCCTGACACCTATGGCATTGCCCACATGACGGGTGGCACCCACAGCGCCGGCCCGAGCCTGCCATCCATGAGCCTGTCTGCGCCCTCGGCAGCTTTCCCTGGGCTGCGCCTGGTGGGTGATGCTGGATGGCAGGGGCTCCAGGGAGGAGTGAGAAGGCCCCAGGGGACCACGTGCTGGGTAGGGGCGGCCCCAACCCGGGAGCTCCTCTTTCTCCACGATTCTCCGTGGTCTCAGGTTTCAGCCCCTTGATTCCCATGGAGAGGCCGGGCCATGCTCTCCCTTGAACCAGACGGAAAATCGGCCATTCTTGTGAGTCCGGTTCAGCTGGTGGACATGTTTGAGGCTGAATTCTCCAGACAGGAGTGGAGGCCAGCAGGTACCGGAGGCCTGTGCTCAGCCGTGGGGCCCAGCTGGTCAAAGCTGTAGCATCTCCGGCAGCGGGCATCAGGGCTGCTCCACACCTGGCATATTGGGAGGTTCCAGCCATGCATGACCCGGCTCCAGGGTGGGAGGCGGCGCCTGAGAGACGACACACCCAAGACCAAAACCACACAGGCCGCTGTGGCTCCAGATATGGCTGCAGCCACATGGGTGCGGTGGTAGCCGAGCGGCTCCAGCACACAGGCTAGGAGGAACGGGGCCCGATACACCAGGCTCTGCAGTCCTCCTCATCTCTCTGGGACCTGGAAGCCGGCAAGTGTGGACGGACTGTGGTCCTCCTCGTCTCCCTGGGACCTGGAGGCCAGTGAGTGTGGACAGACCCTGACCTCTAGCCAGTTGAGAGGCAGCCCCCAGCCACCTACAGCCCCCCAGACTAGCTGCTGAGATGGGAACGCCTCCCTAAACAGAAGGTGTGCTGGGGTCTGGGGACGCGCAGGGGACCGGCCTTGGCCACGAGGGCCTATGGGGCTGCCAGTCACATTTCTCACCCGACACTTACCGCCTGGAGGCCTGGGTGCGGCACCCCGACCTCTCTGAGCTGAGTCAGCCCGGCCCCTCCCGGGCCTCACCCTGAGCCCCAGCCGGGGCAGCGGCAGTGCAGACTCACCCATGAGCCCGCTGAGGAACACGCCATAGAGGGACAGGCCGGTGGTGGCCGCGTTCCACACGGTGCCCACGACGGCGTACAGCAGGATGGTGCCCAGGTTGCCAAAGAAGAGTCGGTTGGGCATGAAGTAGCCGGCGTCCAGCACGATGGGGGGCAGCAGGTAGAAGAAGAAGACGGTGGGCGTCAGTGTGAAGGACGCGATGTGGTCGGCCGCCCAGACGATGCCGCCCAGCACCAGGCCCAGCACGATGAGCAGGGCGCTCTCGGGAACCACGCTGGTGACCTTGTGGGACAGGTGGAACCCTGCGGAGAGGGGAGGCAGGTCAGGGCTGGGCTGCGGGGGAGGGGAGGGAGGTGTGGGGACCCCTAGGGGAGGGGAGGAACGTTGGGGCAGGGCCTGTCAGGGAGGGGAGGGGAGGCAGGTCGGGGGGACTCGTGGGGGAAGGGAGGAAGCTGGGGGGGACCCACAGGGGAGGGGAGGGAAGTCGGGGTGGGACCCATGGGGGAGGGGAGGGAGGTCAGGGTGGAGCCTGCGGGGGAGGGGAGGGAAGTCGGGGTGGAGCCTCAGGAGAGGGCAGGGAGGTGGTGGGAACCTGCGGGGGAGGGAGGGAGATGGGGCACCTGCAGGGGAGGGGAGGGAGGTCGGGGGGGGACCTGTGGGGGAAGGCAGGGAGGTGGGGGAAACCCACGGGAGAGGGGAGGGAGGTTGGGGTGGAACCTGTGGGGGAGCGGAGGGAGGTCCAGGTGACCAGGTCCCACGGGGCTCAGAGCTGCAGGCCCCCCCCACTTTTCAGGGAGCCCAAGAGGGCTGGGAAGGAGGAGGCTACAGGGGCAGTTGCTGGCGCCCCCAGAAGGGAGTCTGTTGGAGGAGGGTGCGGTGCTATGGGGTAGAGGCCTGTGCTGGGTAGACAGTGGGGGGCCTCTGAACTGCTGTCCCCCCGCCCGGCTGGTTCTGGTCCCCCTGGGTCCCTGATTCGCTCTGTGCCTTGTGCCTCGGTGACCGAGATCTGAGCTCACGCTGACTGTCCCTGACGTGGCCAGAGCCTGCTCCCATTTGAGGCTGGCTCTGTTTCAGACTCCTCCAGAGGTTGTCACCTGTCACCCCCTCTCCTCATGCCCCCTCTCCTGGGATCACAGCCCCTGGGTGGGGCCTTCTAGGAAGGGTCTCTGGGTCCCACCAATGATGACCCACTCCACTCCCCACAGGTGAGCTTAAGGGTGGACAGCAGGCCCTGGGGACCCCCCATGGAGCCGACGTGCTTCACCCCATCCCCCAGCACCATCGCCCCTGCCAGGACCTCGGAGTTAGAGGCTCTGCCCTGCCCTGCCCTGTGGGTGGGGGTGCAGGCACCTATCTGGGCCACGTCTCCTGTGTTTTAATTGGACTCAGAAAAAAAAAGGTGACGAGAATTCCTGCGCTCGGCCTGATTTCACAATAGTGGGAAGGCTGACAAATGAGATGCATCCTCCGGCTTAGGTGACGTGAGGGATAATGAGCTTCTTCATTCCCTCAGCGGCTGGTTATTAAGTCTTTCCTTGAAATTTAAAGAAAAGTTGCCTCCTGAGATGGCCGAGACCCCATTTAAGCACAGAGCAGCAGGAGCAGGGAGGCTCCCTCGCAGACCACCTGCCTCCGAAGAACGTGTCAGCACAGCTGGAGGCAGCGGCCGTGTCCCCCGCTTCCCGACTGCGTGGCCCGGACGGGCTGGGCCCTCCCTGCCTGTTCTTCCCTTGTAATTATGGAGCTCTGGCAGGGCCAGGTGCTGCCCCAGTGGAGGGAGGTGCTGTTTTGGATTTGCCATCCCTTCCTGGCAGATGGTCTTACACCAAATACCACGGGCAGCATGGGCCCCTCTGGGGAGGGTGGCAGGCACAAGCCCCACACCTATCCGGCCACCGGCACTGCGCTGCAGTCTCCCAACCCCGTCCCCAGGACAGCAGCTCTGCCTGCTGCTCCAGATTCCAAAACACCAGCTCTGGGAGGGATCAGGGTTCAGAGGTTCCTGCTTTCAGGATCGGAGGTCCGGCTGTGGACCCCTGTCCCCATCATGTGCCCCACAGGCTCTCTGAGGCCCCCGATGGCCCTAACACGTGCCCCGACAGCCCCCTCCTCAGCAGCGCCCTCCCCAGATCTGGGCTCACGGGGCTGGCAGCCCAGCAGGAAAACCGGGGCCCTTCTCCTCCTCTGGGCTCCACAGCCTGGTCCTTGTGGTGGCCGAGGACAGACCTGGCCTCACAGAGCTTTTGGGAAGAGACACGGGTGGCACCTTCCAGGCCTGCGAGAGGAAGGCTGTGGCCTCTGCTCAGGGCAGCCTGGGGCCCTCTCCACACCCGGAACTCAGCAGGTCCTAGGCTGGCCTGGGAATCTGCACACTAAGGGCTCCGAGGCCTTTGGGAGTCCTGCTGGGGGGTCCCTGTGGTGCCGGAAGGCCTGGGGCAGGTGTTCCCATATCTGCAGCCTCCTGATTTCTTTATTAATGTCCAGAGAGAAGTGGAGTTTACCGCCTTCTGTTCCTTCCTGAGGGTTGTAAATCCTGGCCTTGGTATCCCCAGCTGTGTTAGGAAGACCCGGGTGGTCCGTGCCCGGTGCCAGTGCCTGCCCACCCACAGGCCAACCTGCGCCTCTCACATCTGTCTTTGGTGATGTCGTCACCTCCGCTGCTGCCCCACGAGTGCCTAGCAAAGCCCGGCACAGCCGTGGTGATGGTGACCCCTGGAGGCTGCCCAGCCCCTGGTGAGACCCACCCAGGCTGCTGTTTTCTACACAACGCACATTTTTTGCCTCTGCCCACGTCCCAGGCTGGCTCCTGTAGGAATAACCGGCTCACCTCTCCTCCCCTTTCCAGGGTCACAAGACCCAGGAGATGGTGTTTGTCCAATAGGGCTTGTGGAGAAGCCAGTGGGGCACTCGTGGCCCCTCAGTGCCCGCCGGCATGTGGGCCGCTTTGAGGATAAAATCCAATGACCACAGAGACCGTGCACCCCCAGGTGGGGGCACCGTGGCCGAAGATCAGACCTGGGAAGCAGCAGGAGCCTCGGAGCTCCGGGACGCACTCGCCCTTGGTGGCTGCAAACACTTGGCCCAGGGTCTTTTTGTTCAGGGCTTGGGTCTTTTAGCCACAGTCTTCCAAAATTAGATTCACAGCGATCACCACCATTGTGAAGCTACCCGAGACAACTGCGGGGCCAGCAGGTCAGGGATGCAGGGACCAGCTTTGTCTTCAAAAACAACAACGCAACTCTGTGCCCTGGGGACTCACACCTGGGTGCTCCCCGCACCACTGCGGACCCTCCGCCACGCAGCAGTGTGGCCGCTGGTTACGGTAAAAGCCTGTTAACTGGGACACGGGTGGGTGAGGGACAGGCTGGTTTCAGACCAAACACTCCTGCTCAGAAGTAAGCCCTGAAAATCCACAGAAAACATCCTCTGACCTTGGTAGTCACTGAGAAAATATACAGACATACGCACAAACGCCACGTAGGCGCGACGGCGGTGGTTTCCAACATTCTGCCATCCGGGGTTGGAAAGAGTGTTGGACACGCCTTTTCCCATGTGCTGCGGCATCGGAGGGCAGCTCCTGTAGTCTTCAGGGTGTGTGCGTGTTGAGTTGGGAGCTCACCTGTGTCCTTCTGCATGGGACGTGCCGGTCCCACCTGCCCACGGGGGAGGAGCCACACCCATCCCCACCTTCCGGGCAGGCGTGAGCTGCATCTCCTGAGAGGCCCAGCCTAACAGCCTCTGACAACCTGTGGGTGACGCGTGAGCGATCGCCTGTTCTGTGAATGAGTCCAGTTGACTTGCTCCCCTGCTGGGCACTGATCCTTCCTACTGACACGAGGTTCTTCATCAGCTGGAAAATCCAGCCTTTGCTTATGGGGCCAGTGTGGATGGGGCTGGTATGGATGCGGCTGGTGTAGACAGGGCTGGTGTAGACAGGGCTGGTGCGGACTGGGGCAGTGTGGATGGGGCCGGTGTGGATGGGGCCGGTGTGGACACCGGGCTGGTGTGGACTGGGGTGGTGTGGACACGGGGCTGGTGTAGACAGGGCCAGTGTGGACAGGGCTGGGGTCCAGTGTGGACATGGGGCCACTGTGGACAGGGCTGGGGGCCAGTGTGGACGGGGCTGATGTGGACAGGGCCAGTGTGGACAGGGCTGGGGTCCAGTATGGACATGGGGCCACTGTGGACAGGGCTGGGGGCCAGTGTGGATACGGGGTTGGTGTGGACACGGGGCCAGTGTGGACGGGGCTGATGTGGACAGGGCCAGTGTGGACAGGGCTGGTGTGTACACGGGTCCAGTGTGGACAGGGCCGGGCCCTGAGTCCGTCTGCCACAGCCTGTGTGGCTTCCAAACAAGGGGACAAACCTGGGGACATGCAGGCCCTTAGGTAACTGATTGCCGAGGCTGGAGAGTCACAGCTAATTAAGCACACAATGGCTCGGCGGCCTGATGGTTACGACAGGGGACAGACGCTTTTAGTTCTAATTACAAACCCTGTGCCTGGAGGAGGAAGGGCCGGCGCTGGCAAACCGGACATTTCTGGAGTGGGCGCCGGAAACGGCTTCTCCCTGGGCCCCGGGGGCGCTCAGGAAGGCCACAGCCGACGCATGTCACACCCCTCAGAGCACAGAGGGACAGGGCTTGGTCAGGCCCGGGGCCTCCGCTGCCTCCAAGGACCCTTCAAGGTGACAGAGATTCAGCCGAGTCCGCAAAAATGCAACAGCGCAGTCAATCCTGTGGTTTTACTTTAACAGGAGCATGTCCCGGAGGATTAAACTCTGCCTCCCAGAAACAGCCCGGCTGAGCAGGGAGGGAGGGGGGGCAGCGAGGCCAGGAAGGCGGGCGGAAGCACAGGTACCCACTCTGCGGGGCACAAGCGGCCGGGGCGTTCCACAGGCAGGCGCAGACTCATGCAGGAACACGTGCACGCACAGAGACTCCTAGAGACACAGAGACACAGAGATGCGCAGAGACCCACGCAGGGTCCACCCCATTCTCCTAGCAGAGCCGTGGGTCTGAGTTCTCCGCCACCCGCCCCTACAGGTCCAGCGGAGCTCACCAGTGCACTCTGACCTCAGTTGACCTCAGTATCACGCAGGGCACCGGCAAGGAATCCCGGTAAATGTGTCGGCCGTCAAGCCCGGGACAGAGGTAAAGGTGCTCACGGCGGCCACCGTGCAGCCTGGCAGATGTGCCTGCGTGACCCCACGCGTCCCTGCCTGTGGGTGCGGTTCCCAGTGAGTGCTCAGGTTGGTGTGGGACAGGGGAGCCGGCTCCCGGGGGCTGGGCGGGGACCCCCTCTCTGAGCGAGGCCGGGCCTCCGGGCCGGGAAGCTGCTTCCTGCCAGATGAAGTCCACACAGCACCGAGAACAGCCCGTTCAGGATTGGGCTCCCTGCGCTCAAGTCACAAGGTGTTTGTAGACATTGCACATTTACAACACTCAAGCAGACCTAGTCGGGTTTTAAATGGAAACATGAACGTTGCCAGCGGTTCCCTAGAGAATCAGGAGATCCTTCAATTCCAAACCACCCTGAGCAACAGCGCTGGGACAGAATGAAGGCAGCCTCAGAGCCAGCCATGCCTCTGTCCCAGACGCCGGGAAGACCCCACACCCCTTCCTCTCTGGGACCCAGCCGCTCCGCCCCCTCCGAGACAGCCCCTCCCCGTCTGAGACAGCCACGCCCGCTCTGAGACAGCCCCGCCCCCTCTGAGACAGCCCCGCCCCTCTGAGACAGCCCCGCCCCCTCTGAGACAGCCCCGCCCCTCCGAGACGGCCCCGCCTCCTCTGAGACAGCCACGCCCCCTCCGGGATGGCCCGGGCCCCCTTACTAGCAGCGTGAGAACAGATGAATACAGGCAGGTCCCAAGCTGCCCACAGCAGCGAAAAGACCTGGGATGCAGATCCCAGCTGCCGCCATCTCAGGGCTTTGCTCAAAGCAGCAACAAGCCTCAGCCACCGGAGGCCCAGCGGCGCCTTCCAGGGACCACAGCGGAACACAGGCCCCAGCAAGACACCAGTCCCAACGTCCTGGGGCAACCGGAGTCAGGAGACACGTGAAGAAGAGGGAATGTGGCCCAGCTCAAATCAGAGGAGAACTCAAGATGGTCAGACCCTGGAATCAGCAGACAAGGGCCTAAAACAGCTGCTCAAGGATAGAAAAGAAACGTCCTCATAATCACTTAAAAAGGACAAACCGCAGCGGTGCAGTGGAACAGGGCTTGGCACGTTTTTTCTTAAAGGCAGATTGTCAGTATTTCAGGTTCTTCCAGCTGCCAACA